GGGTCGATTAATGATATGTTTCTATGCACCACAAAAATGCTCTTTTCCTTATTTGGGCATCTGCTTGTTTTCCAGACTCTGGACGAAACAAGCAGCCAGCTGCTGCGGACACTCACTGTCGAGCAAAGTGGATGAGGTGACAGCAAATAGTCAGCAACATTGGACCCTTGAGTTGCAACTCACTGGTTGTCTTCCTGCGGCCAAGTGGTGAGTGCGTCGACCTCACAGTGCAGAGGTATTCAATTCCAACTCCGGCCTTCCTATGTGGCATTTGCATGTTCTCCCCGCGCCTGCGTGGGTTTTCTCCGGGTCCTCCGGTTTCCTCCCACATTCAAAAATCATGCATGGCAGGCTGATTGAACACTCTAAATTGTCCCTGGGTGTGAGTGTGAGCGTGAATGGTTGGTTGTCTCTGTGTGCCCTGCGATTGACAAGCAACCGGTTCATGGTGTCCCCCGCATACTGTCCAAAGACAGCTGGGATAGGCTTCAGCACGCCCCGCGACCCTTGTGAGGATAAGCGGATCGGAAAATGGATGGATGGGTGGTTGCCTTCCTAATGAAAGCTGGGCTTCCCATGCAAGCAGAAATATGGGGGTGGAATGAGGGCTGGAGCAGAGCAATGAACTTGCCCTTAAAATGAACCGATGTCAACATGGCAAGAAATAATGGGGGGGAGAACATGTTTTTAATTTTTGATGTTTGGGGAATTTGTAGCCGAATCAACCCACAGATACATTATTAAGACACCTGGAAACAGTTTTAAATTGTGAAACAAACATAACACAACATATGTCTCCTGCAGTACCAACATCTCTAGCTGCCAGAATGCCCAACTGGTAGAAAGGTAGGTGAATGCGAAATATTATTTACGCAGCAACGTTTTGAATTATTCTGATTTACCAATGTGATGTATTTGGATTTTTTTTCTTCTTTTTTGTTTCATGGTCTCTGAGTGAATTTCCATAAGAGGAAATAGTTCTGCATAATCAACATCCACTCAAGTATGTTTTTACTTTCACATCCAAAAAGGTTCTCGAGAGCAGCTGTTGCAGCAGCGTTCCAGGAAGTTGGAATAGAAGTGGCTGAAAAAGTCATGTGAAACTGGGCGTCAGTTCCACGAGTATGAGATTGCATGAATCTGATCAAAAAATTTCTATTCATGAACAAGTGAAGAGCTTGCTGTCCCGGAAAAAACAGCACACACACCGTGATACAATCAGTCAAACAGACAACAACCAAAATGGCTCATCCGCGCAGCATGTTTGAAAGTATTTAGTTTACGCCCACTGCCAAGTGAATTAAAGTGTGCCCAAATGAGTGAATTAATCGTGTGATTAACGATACACTTAATCAGAGCTTTTTCCATGCAGTGACACATTTGTGGTGGCGCACTGCAGTATCAGTCACTCGGACTTTTTCATAATTGCTCTCACGATATCATTTTTCCTTAAATAAACAGGAGCAGAACTTCAGAGGTCATTCCTGTAACCTTAAGCACTGAGTTTTGGCTCTTGAAAACAGCATATGCAAATAAAAATGCATTGTATTGTATTGCTGTATGAAAGAAGAAGAGGACAAATTCATGTTTCATTCAAATGAAAGCAAATTTGGCACACATCCAGTTTGCATTCTCTCTAAGTTACTTTGGTGTACAGATGTCAAAATTCATTGATTAAGTGACAACGACTTTATTATTGTTGACATTAAAATTGTCCGAATTCTCTCATCTCAAGTGACGACTTTATTGTTGTTGACATTAAAATTGTCCGAATTCTCTCATCTCAGCTTCTCGGCAGTAATTCTCCTCTGATTTCTGTCGTCTTTCATGAAAGCTGATTAATGTTCATGTTTCATCAAAAGAAGACATTTGCAAACATCTGCTTTTACTTTGGAAAAACCAGAAACAGTTTCAAAAAGGTTGGTGAATACAACATCAATCCCTCTCGTGTAATATTGCTTCATTTTTGTTGAGGTTTTTTTTTTTTTTTAACCCTTTTAGGGACAGCGGTTACTACAGTGGACAGCTTATCATGTTATCAGGTTACAGGGTCCATCAAAGGGTTAATCACTAAAGAATACCTGTTCACATTGACGTAAAAGCACTGAGCACAGTATGTTCAATGTTCAGTATGTTCATGTTTAGTCGGCACATGAGAAGTTTGGTCTTAATTAGCTGACGAAAACAAAGCTCCAAAGGCATTTTTGTCCTCAATTACTAAAGCTGAACATATGGAAGCAATTAACTGGTCTTTTACCCTCAAGATGTATTCTTCCTTGATACCACTGCAGTGACTCACTGGTCTACAATGATGTTTTTAACCCTGTGAGGGACCTAAACAACCAATATGAGGGAACCTTGATGAAAAATTAGCCTTCCCATCTTGAGTGAGAGTCAATTATAAACAAAGTTGCCATGATATAAATGAAGTAAAGGTTATCATTCCACCGATTACAAGAAGTGAAAGGTTATGTTGTTTATCACAAGTTTGATAAATAATCCAAGGTGACACGTAAACACCAATCTTGACAAAAAAATTGATTCAATTGAAGAAACGTACACGAAATACAACAGATAAGATGTTTCGCAGGCCTGAGGTTTAGAAATCTGAATTGCTTGGCCTGTGTTTCTGGAATCAGACGCAGAGGGTACGCATGCAGGGAGCACAAACACTTACGAGAAGCATGACGCAATTCAAAGGGTGATGTTTAACAGGGACAGTACCTCATAAATTTCTAAAGGGCACAGACTTTGACTCTCTACATTTTATCCTCCTAGCGACGTCTGCGTGCGACCTTTCAAACCCTTACGTGCCCAGAAATACATACAATGGAATCCAAGTCGGCCCTCTTCATGATTGACACACTTCGGAGAATGAACCTGAGCAACAGTTACACCCTGCAGTCCGATGCTACGTGTACAGTAATTTACCAAGAGATTTATGATGAGTGCTGAGCTGTACAGTTCACATTCAACTTTTTGATCAGTTTGAATTTAATGTCATGTCTCTCAACCACAACAAAGTCAGCTGGGCCAGGCTCCGGTCTTCCCATGTCCCTGAACAAGTGACCTGATTGGATGAAATATACAGAGTGTCCAAAAAGTCTGCGTGCAAAGTTGATTGGAGTGGTCCCTTTGTTTATTAGACCTTTCTCCCCTTGACTTCTTTTTCTGGGGTATGCTAAAAGAGAAAGTGTACTCGATGAAAAATCGACGGCAATGGCTATTCCATCGGGTCCGCCTGAATTTTACAAAGCGCATTAAATTATGCATTGAAAATTGTGGAAATCGTGTTCACAATTCTTTATCAACATTACAGTTGAATACAATTATTTTCTTTTAAGGAGTATGTGTTTTTTAACCATCTACCCAGACTTTATGGACACCCTCTACTTGGATAGTTTGAGAGATGCTCAGACCGCATTTAAATGTCACCGCGGCGTAGGCAGTAGGTGTAACGCAAGGCAGGAAAATTCAAAATGAAAGACTTGGTTCAAACTGAAACACTTTTCAGGCATCGATTTTGTACAAAATGACAGTCTATAAAAACGACACAAAGAAAGTACCAGTAGGTTGAACTTGATTATAATGAGAACACAGAAGAGATATCAGGAAACACAAAGAGGTTCAGGGTAGCTTAATTGAACTACTTCCACAAGACCTGATTTGAGTTTTGTAGGGACTAATCAAAATATTTCTGTTAGCAATGGTCAACAGTTAAAGGCGCGCTAAGGTTCTTCAAAGGTACAACAAGAAACTTGCTTCACTAAATTTGATGACAAACCTGGACTCCAAGCATACAGTCACGCTGACTGAGCATCTGATGCTAGTGACAGAACAGGGGACAGTTTTAGCTGAAACAAAAACGGTCCCATTGTCTCATGGAAGACTTGTCCTCAAAAACAATCTGCCGATTGTTTTTGAGGACAATCAAGGCACCACAGCACTGGTCAAAACCCCCAGTAAAAAAGGCAAAGATGCAAACATACAGTATCAATTTAGTAGGTCAATTGTTAATTAATAATGGCAATAAAGTTTGGAGTACCGCCCAACAGACCAGATGGTGGCAGGTATTTTAACTAAATCCGCAACAAGAGATAAGTTGAATACATTTTGCCAAGTTCAAGTTGGAAAATGATGTGGGTGTCCATGTGCGCGTAGTCTAAAAGAAAGGTTTTTCCAAATCTGTTTTGTGTGGTCAAAAAAACAATGTGAGAGCAAGTGTTGCTCTTAAGATATGTTCTCTCAGGTCATCCTGGAGAAAAAGGGAAACCCACAAATTTGTGATCATATTTAAGTAAATCATGAAAAGAGGGGTTGTTTTCGAAAATCATTTTCTAGCCACTTAACTCATGACTTTTTCTAATAAATCAATCAATCAATGAAATGCAATCAAATAATTTAGGGGGCTTAAGAACATTTTAAGTGGGCTTCAGCCCCTCCCCCCCACACTTAAAATAGGCCTCACAATGCAATTGAACTAAAACTAAACAGAGACTCTACTGATTTGAATTTACTTTATATTCCCAATTTTTCGCCTTTTAGATATATCCTATTTAAAAAAAAACTCCTCATAGAGATTTGATCGAACTTCAAACTTTGTGTTTCCCATTTAAAAATGCAAATCGTCATCCTTTTCCTATGTGCTTGTACCCCAACGTGCCAGGAACCCAACACGGCCAGGGTTGCGAGCCCCTCACTCTTCATTTTTACAAAATCATTCCACGCCATGCCTATTTTATTTGGTTATTATTATTATTATTATTGTAACCAGGTGAACCATACTTGGACTTTTGTAGTGAAGCCTGCCTTGTTTAACAAATGTAACTCTGTGCCTTTTTTAAATATTCAGTCACGAATAAAGCCCACATAAAAATTATTTTGTGTTCGGTCAAGGCTTTCTACAGACCCGGCTACATTATGATTATTATTATTATTATTATTAGTATTAACCACAAAAAAATGGATGGCGATAAAGACTGGTAATGAATTTAACTCACATTAATTGAATAGATGAGGGCGGCGATTCCAAGAGGCAGGCAGCAGCACAGCATGGTGAAGATGGAGTAGCCCAGGTAGTCATTGTAGGGGTTCTCCAGCGGACCTCGCGTCACGTACACCGCGGGCTGGACGGTGACCGTGGTTTGCTGAGGTGGGTACTGTTGACCTGCCGTGTACTGCTGCTGTCCGTACGGAGCACCGCCATAATTTGGCGGATATGCAGACCCCTGTAAGAGCCACGCAATATTCAATTCTACTCAAAAGTATCAATCTTAAAAGGAAATAGACTGACGTGAGTGACTGGCACGAATTGTCACCAAGGTGAACTGTATTTCATAATTACAGGTGATAAAACCACATGTCCTGAATTGCATATAAAATTATGTAGATAAGGCAGAATCTAGGCAAATTAAAGTGTTTTATATTGGTATGTATTTTTACAAGGTGAAATCTTGCTTACTTTAGTTACCGCACTAGTTTGAGATAAATGTTACTCGCGTTTAATTACCAGCAAAATAAAGAAAGACCGTTCAGCAATTTGTTTGATTATTCTCCAAAAAAAAAAAAAAGACTGCACGTTAAAAAAAAAAAAAAAACAACGTTTGATGAACAGGTTTACAGGTGTAGCGGAAAGGTTACCTGCGGATGAGGAGGGTAACCACCGGGTCCAGGCTGGGGGTACCCTGGCCCAGGTTGAGGGTATCCCGGGTACGGATTGTCCTGGTAGGGCGGAGGGGACATCTGGCCCATGGAAGACTTCTCATTGGGAGGGGCGTTAGGGTCCATAACAGTCTGCTTTCTTAATGGAGAGCAAGGAAAATGAGCACGAAACGTCTATAACGAGGACACTCTGGCATGTGACAGACATTCACATAAACACGCCCCCTACTGTATGCCTGCTGGGTGAGAAGCATGGTCCTAGTGTCCTCCCCCCAGCCCCCCCCCCCCCTTAACACCCAGAAGGACAATCAAAATGACAACTTCACAGGGGTTTTATTAGCCTGCCACAACGACGACGCAGTCCGTTTCTTGGTGGCGCAGGCGAAACTAGTCGGGCAGGAGGCACAGGGGAGACACGAGTGGGAGAACGACACTCAACACCGACACGCTGCAGTGAGGCTGGGGGCTTCGGAGGACGACCACGGCGAGGGACCTGGGCCGGCAACAGCACATCGCCCGCAACCAAATGCGCTGGTTTGAGCCTATCTAACGAAACACACTCCCTTCGCCCACCCATATCAATCACAAAACTCTTATCACCGTGCTCGAGCACCCTAAATGGGCGACCGGTGGGCATCATGGCGCACAAAGACAAAACGGGCCGACATAAGCGCAGACAGTACGAACACTACTTTGGGAACAAAATGGTGAACCGGTGTCAGAGTTAAGGATCCTTCCGACAAAAAGGGAAAGGAAGGCGCGCCGGAACCTTCTGGCAGAAATTCACCGGGAACACGAAGTGGCTGACCGAGCACCAACTCAGCAGGGGCGGCATTAGGCCAAAAAAAAGATAGTGTGTTTCCGGTAACATGAAATTTCAGCATAGGGTTGGTAGGTCGGACAAAGTTTTTTTTTTATGTTTTTTTTTCTCCATCAAAAATAAAAAAAAAAAAAAAAAAACATAAAACATAAAACAATTTAATAGTATAACTTTAAGTCTAGTTACACATTGTAGACCCACCTACCTTGGAGTTTTCTTCTGAAATTCTTTGTTTTTCTCCTTTTCTGAATGTGCTGCTTTCATCATGACATCGAATACGTCAACACTTTCTGTTTTTGCCACTGTTTCTTGTGGTTTTTCTATGCATCTAAATCGAATCGATCTTAGGTCAGGTAAAGTATTTAAAACTTGAAACACTGACATATCCCTATCATCAATGTCATAGAATTCACCATTGGCACATTGACACTGTGCTATTTTAAGGTGGTTTATACTCGGCCCGTGGTGTTCATCAAATAGTTCGCTGAATTTTTTCGATACATCAATGGATGCCATTTTCTTAACATTACGGTGCGAGCATGCGACTGCAACACAGAAAACGCGGTTTAAACTGTCGTCGGAGATCGCGGCCGCCGCCATAATTCAATGTTGTTGACAGACGATAGGGCAAACGACACACGCGCTCAACGTGAATATCGCGAGAGTTTGCACCGATGTGAACACTCTTGAATTCTCGGTCGGTCAGGTTACCGGAAACACACTACTTTTTTTTGTCCGCCTAAAGATCTTCTTTCGGAGCCGAACGTAACCCGAGCAAAACCCACAGAAGGCGGTCGACCCAGTTACCGTCCGAAAGCGCAGCCCGCAGCGCAGCCCGCAGCGCAGCCCGCAGCGCAGCTTTTAGCGACCGGTGAAAACGTTCGCACAACCCGTTAGCCTGTGGGTGGTAGGCCACAGTGCGGTGTACCTGCACACCCAAGGACCCTGCCATGGCCGACCAGAGCTCTGACACAAACTGGGGGCCCCTGTCCGAGGTGACATCGGATGGTGTGGCAAAACGCGCGACCTAGGATGACAGAAAAGCACGAGCTACATCTACCGAGGTCGTGGAGGACAGGGGAACTGCTTCCGGCCACCTAGTGGTCCGATCTACCATCGTGAGTAGATGTGTGAAACCCTGCGACGGAGGGAGGGGGCCTACCAGGTCCACGTGGACGTGATCAAATCGCCTGGCCGGAATTGGAAAAGGTTCAAGGTTCGCCCAAGGTGTGGCGGTGGACTTTGGCGCGCTGACACGCCACGCATGCAGCCGCCCACCTCCTGACGTCCTTGCGTAATCCAGGCCAGACAAACTTGGCCCCAACCAGCTTGACAGACGCACGAACGCCAGGGTGCGAGAGGGAATGGATCGAATCAAAGATTCGGCGACGCCAATCCAACGGGACCACAGGGCGATCCTCCTCAAGTTAAAGAGCCGTACTGGCTGCCTTGAGATTGCAGATGTCAGGATCCTCGGATTGGTCGGCGGCCATTTCTGAAAAATCAACCCCGAGCTGGACCGGACATACGATTGCGCGTGACAAACAATCAGCCACAGGGTTCCACTTACCGGCCACATGCTGAATGTCAGTTGTGAACTCAGAAACGGCCGCCAAGTGCCGTTGCTGCCAGGCCGACCACGGTTCCGTAACCTTCGACATTGCAAATGTAAGTGGCCTGTGATCCACAAAAGCGGTGAAAGGGCGTCCTTCAAGAAGGAAACAAAAATGGCGCGTCGCAAGATAGAGTGCCAGCAACTCTCTGTCAAAAACGCTATACTTGCGCTCGTGATCCCGCAGCTTACGACTGAAAAACGCAAGGGGCTGCCATACGTTCTCCAACAGCTGCTCAACCACCACCCCAACATCAATATCAGACGCATCTGTAGTTAAAGCCACTTGCGCGTTTGCAATCGGGTGGACCAGGAGGGCTGCACTTGCGAGAGCGTCCTTAGCTTGTGGAAACGCCTGTGCCTGTTGTGGAGACCACTCGATAGGAACATTCGCCTTCTTCTTTCTCAAGGCGCCGTAAAGTGGCTGCAGGAGGTGGGCTGCGCGAGGAAGGAACCGGTTATAAAAATTAACCATGCCCAAAAACTCTTGCAGCGCCTTAACTGAAGCAGGCGGGGGAAATTCACCACTGCCTGCACTTTGGCGGGCAAGGGGATACCGATCTCAGACAGACCAAATTGACATTTCACCGGGTTAACGATCAGGCCGTGTGGATCAAGACGCTTGAAAACCGTCCTTAAGTGCGACAGGTGTTCCTCTGGTGAAGGACTGGCCATGGCCACCAGAATGTCGTCGAGATAGAGGAACACAAAATCGAGGTCGCGAAACATGGAGTCCATCAATCTTTGAAAAGTCTGTCCAGCCGCCTTCAGTCCAAAAGGCATGCGCAGGAATTCGAAAAGCGCAAACGGGGTTATCACTGCAGTTTGGGGCACATCATCCGCCTGAACGGGCACCTGGTGATAACCACGGATCAAATCCACTTTGGAAAAAATTGTGGTGCCAGCCAAACGCGCAGAAAAATCCTGAAGGTGTGGAATGGGGTAGCGGTCATGCGTGGTAACATTGTTAAGCCGACGAAAATCACCACAAGGCTGCCAGGAACCATCACTTTTAGGCAGCATGTGTAAGGGTGAGGCCCACGGGCTGTTTGAACGTCTAACGATTCCCAAACGCTCCATTGTAGCAAAGTCCCCTTTCGCAATTGCCAGTTTTGCTGCGTCGAGGCGACGCGCGCGGGCAAACACCGACGGGCCAACTGTGGGGATGAAATGTTGAACTCCGTGCTTAGTATCGGCGTCGGAAAAGGCGGGAGTCGTTAGCGATGGGAAGTCTGTCAGTAAACGTTGATAAACGTCACCCGAAGCCAAATAATTCGCGTGCGTTAATGGTCCGAGTCCCCCAGCCTCACACAGAAAAGTGGCGAACGACACAGCGTCAATCAACCGGCGGTTAGCGACATCAATGAGCAGTCTATGTGCACACAGAAAATCCGCGCCGATGATCGAAACTGTGATTGAGGCCACGACAAAGTTCCACTGGAAATTGCGTCCATGGAAGCACACGGTGACCGACCTGGAACCAAAGTTGATGATGCGCGAGCCGTTGGCTGCACAGAGGCGGTCCGCAGCCACCGGCCGCCTTGTCCACGGCGGTTAGTGTAAGCAGGCTGACCTGCGATCGATCCGCTGTCCACCAGGAAACGTCTTTCTGATGACGAGTCTGTGATGAAAAGCAGCTCGCTTCTGTTGCCGGCGCCCACTGCTGCTACTAAACGCCGGCACTGGCGTTTCCCGGGGCCGAGTAGTTGCAGGGGGGAACACAACGCCGAGCCTTGGCGCCAAAACGCTGATGGAAAAAAACAGAGAGCCTTTTCGCGCCGCTTCCGTGTAACCACTCCGGCCACCATGGTCGGGTCAACGCCTGGTGTCGCCTCGAGGAGGGGATCGGCCGTCGCACTTTGCACGGCGAACTGTCTTGTAGCCAGCAGAACTCGAGCCGCTTCTTCAGCCAAACCACGATAATCGCCGGTCGTCAGACATGCCGAGTTAGCCAACACGGCGCGCACTGGGCCTGGTGGCTGGCGTAGGAAAATGCGCGGGAAAAGAAAGCCGAACAGCGACAGCATTTTGTCCATCAGATCCACTGCCGTGCCATCGCCCAGTCCGGGAAGGGAAAGCAGTCTGTCTGCTCTCTCGGAGTCCGATAAACTGAACCTCCAGAGCAGAAGCTGTTTGAGCGCGTCGTATTTCCCGCCTTGTGGAGGCGCCCGCAAGAGCGGCATCGCACGACGTGTAGTCTGCTGGTCGAGGGACACCACGACCATGTAATATTTCGGCTCGTGGTAGTGATTCCCCGTAGGTGGAAAAGCGCTTCCACATGCTGAAACCACAAAGCCGGGTCGCTCTGCCAGAACTCCGGTAGCTTCGCGGCAGAGGCGGCGGCTGCAAGTTGCGGGAGTTGGGGCGACGTGGCCAAGGAAGACACCTCTCCATCCGTTATCCGAAACATCTTAACGTCAGGGTCACCAATGTGGCAGTCAAAAGGAGCACACACGATTGACTGTAAACACGTCTTTGTTCCACGACTGCCAACAAGTGGATCTGAACAATTACAAATTTGCGCCAAAGACATTCACATAAACACGCCCCCTACTGTATGCCTGCTGGGTGAGAAGCATGGTCCTAGTGTCAGCCACAACACTATCCTTTTAATATATTTTTTGTAATTTTGGCAACACCTCCCAAGTTAACCAGTTTGACCTTGTGGTGTTTGGAGATTTGACAAAACGAAGGGGAGCAGTGGGGTCGTCTTTCTCGGAGATAATAGCCCCGTTTCCTCTTGAGACTTTCAAAATAAAATAGAAAAAAGGGACCAGAAGTGGGCGCTCCGAAGGGTGTATCACGGAACAAAAGGGAATTTAATCTGCAACTAATTTGTGGTATTCTGCACTGCAGTGATCGAAAATGCACTATTTCACACGATAGGTGTGGATTAAGGAGAAGAATCATCTTTAGGTCACGAAAATGGTGCCTCTCTCCACCACAGTCACTTTAGTCACCACAACACAATAAATACACACACTCAAATGTACGCGCAAAGAGAAAATAACAATAAAGAAAACAGAGAATTATTATTTTATACACACATAGTACAGCAAAAAACTAAAAAAAAAAAAAAAACTTGAAGGGAGCCTGATCTTGAAAAAATGGGCATTAATTCCCACTTGCTTGCTTTCTTTTATGTTAAGGATTGTTAGTCACTGGCCTTGTTGCGTAATCATAAAAAGGAAGCAGGTGACGAGGATAGTGAAGTGAAATATGCCTAAGCATATGCAGAACTAAGAACATTTTTGGATGACATAATACGAGAGTGGCAGATGGTGGATGAAAAGCACTGCAAATATTGACAAATGACAGAGACCCGCATTTGTGTGCTGTGTGCAAAGGCTTCCATGTTTTTTTTTTTTTTTAATCTTTCAGTTATATTTGTTAGATCATGCCTCTTCATTAGATTGTTGACCTCCTGGCTCTGCATCTTCTTATCTATGACACCCTTAGCACACATTTTATTTGATGTCAGTTAAGGCCATCGAGTCACACATACTCACATGGACAAGGCAGAGGTTCCCTGTCAAGCCATGTGACTATATGTGAACCTGAAATCAACTATATAGTGAGTCATAGGTAAAAAGATACAGAGTCAAAGGGAAAGGTCACACCGACACTACAACCGAACTCAAGTCACTTATCTAATTATTATGAGGCCTAATCTAACATATTCTTCAAGAAATAGACAAAAGAAAAGAATATGAGAGCACCATATGTAAAGGCACAGGGCACGTAATGAACCAACAAACATCACCCCCCCACCAATGAACTGAATCAACAAAGAAAAATAAACAACTGAACTAATTAACTAAAGAAATAAATATATAAAGAAAGAAGCAAGGAAGAAAGAAAGACCTGTACATTGTTGGAGGAAAGTGGCCTTCTTTCCTCCGCGTGTTCGTTGATTTCGGATGATGAGAATGTTGGTTATCCAAATACAGGCTGGTCGATTCAGATTCATTCAATTTCAGATTCAGATTCAGGAAACTTTTTTTATCCCCATGGGGTAATTGGACTTAACAGGCACGCTCTGCACAAGAAACATGAAAAACAATGACGAACATGGGATACAGTGCGAAGGGCCTGTCGGTACTCGCCGTATGTACAGCGCCCCGAGATCTTAGTTAGGAAGTAAACACTAGGGAAGGAGAGGGGAAAAAAAAACATGAACAGTTTCTTCGAAGCTTTTAATAACAGAATATTTCGGACACCAATGATTTACAGACAATGGCTGCTTGATCACGAGTGTGTCAGAGGAAGGGATTCACAACATATTTATTACATCAGAAGGGCGGTACCGAGACTATGGAGCGACCTCAAGATTTCAGTGTCTCCTAAACCGATTCTTAGCTTGTATCAACCCGTCTCCGCAAAGTCTCCAGTAAGCAGTGTATCAAGGCTTAACAGGTGGCTCCAAGGACGTGCTTGGTTTACTGCAGGCATGAAATTATTATACAGGCTAGACTAAATATGGCGGAAGTCACATATCATTGCATTATTTTAAGCAAATATTGTTAAAAAGATCACGGCAGAGGTTTCACTAGACTAAATATGAGCAGAAGTGGAGTATTGATCCAAGATGGCGGACAGTGCGCCAGTGTGTTCGGCGACGCTCCTGCTATTTCAGGTTTTTTTACTATTCGCAATGCTTGTTACCTTCCTAACAGCGTCTCGGTTGGTTTATGATCGCCAATCGTTGTTATTGATTCAACAAAACGTCGGAGATTCGGCCGCGTTTTGGCAAGACGGTGGTGAAAAGACGCTACCACCGTTCTTGGCTAACGTGCTGGCTAATCTCTTCCGCGTTCGGTCACCCCCTTCACAGAAGGCGGCGGCGGCAAATGTAGCGGTCAGCTCGTGAAGCTAAAGCGGGATCTGAGACACACTAAGATCGCTGCTCGTTCCCGAACGCATGGAATTACTCCGTCGCTTGATAACAGTCGTTGGCTCTCCCACCGCGCCACGGCATTTCTACCCTCTGCGCCTTTCTCGGCGAGGAGTCCAGTGAAAGCTTTTGAAGGAATTCCCCCGTACTTGGCAATCCAAAGAGGCAATCCCTCCCGTTGCTACTCCCACAAGGATCGCGTTGTTAAACGCCCGGTCGTTGACGGACAAGACCCATATTCTGAGGGAGTATTTCCTTTCCAATGACTTGGACTTCCTGTGTCTGACGGAGACCTTGGCAGGTACTGGTGAGTACAACGCTTTACTTGAATTGTTGCCACCTGACTGTGCATTCCTCGATACCCCGAGGACCTCAGGCCGTGGTGGAGGAACGGTGAGTGTCTTTAAGAACAATTTCAAATGTAAACGGTGCACATTCACCACATCAACCACCAGCTTTGAAGCAACCTTCTTTGAAGTCGGTCGTGTTTTCCCGGTGCTCTGCGCTGTCATTTACCGTCCCCCTAAATACAACAAAGACTTTTTATGCGATTTTTCAACCTTTCTTGCGGAAATATGATCATATCCTCCTAATGGGGGATTTTAATATCCATGTGTGCTGTCCGGAAAAACCACTAGCAAAGGACTTCTTAAGACTTATCGACTCTTTTAATTTCGTGCAATATGTGACCAGCCCGACACATGAACAAGGACATATTTTAGACCTTGTCCTTGCTAATGATCTACCGGTGACAAATCTGTAAGTCCTTGTAAATGGGATTTCTGATCACATGGCAGTTTGATTTGACGTAGTCTTATCGCGTGCTGCTGTAAAATCTGCCGCTCCTAGTTGCAACCGCCAAATTTTTAACCCTCGCACTGCTAGTCGGTTCTCTGATGCCTTTAATAACCTTTGCATACCCTCGTCTAACACAGAGGAACTTACCTCTTGGTTCAACTCATCATGCCGTGCCATACTGGATTTGGTGGCTCTTTCAAAAACTGTGCTCCCAAAACCTAAACCCGAGCCTTGGTTTAACGACAAAACTCGCGCAGCTAGGCAGAGGTGTCGCAAAGCCGAACGCAAGTGGAAAAAAGACAAATTGCAGGTCTCTTATCAAATTTGGAAAGACTGCTGGCGTAACTACCAGCTCACAGTAAAAGAGGCCAAAAGAGAATATCTGTCGGACCTTATTCAAGCTAACCGTCACAACCCATGTGCACTATCTAAAATGATAGATTCTGTACTCAAACCCCCTCTGCCTACTTGCTCGGATTCTTCACCCGAGATGTGCAACAGATTCCTTCAGTTTTTCATTGATAAGGTCTCTACAGCTAGGACTTCGGTCTCAAATACCGCATCTGACTCCTCTGTCCATATTCCGTGTGCAGCGGTGCTAAATTCTTTTGAAACTGTGTCCTTGAAGCTTTTGGAGGATGTAGTTCGCCAGACGAAGCCATCTGGCTCCCACTGCGACTCTCTTCCCCCGCATTTCTTTCAGGAGGTTCTACCGAGTGTTGGTGCATCGGTCTTGGACATCATCAACAGAAGCCTCTCTTCTGGTATAGTTCCCCAACAGTTTAAACATGCTGTGGTCCAACCCTTGATCAAGAAACCTGAAGGCAGAATTGGTCCCTAATGTTTGAATCAGAGAAATCATCATCTGAATTCTGTAAAGAGGTAAGGAACAACAAGTCACAAGATCAAAAAATAAATCAAGAATCATCTTTAAAAAACGTTGTCAGGACTTTGCGAAATCGAATCACTTTTTTATTTTGACATTTTTGGGTGATTTCAACAGATTCCTTCAGTTTTTTATTGATAAGGTCTCTACAGCTCGGACTTAGGTCTCAAATACCGCATCTGACCCCTCTGTCCATATTCCGTGTTCAGCGGTGCTAAATTCTTTTGAAACTGTGTCCTTGAATCTTTTGGAGGATGTATTTCACCAGACGAAGCCATCTGGCTCCCCCTGCGACTCTCTTCCCCCGCATTTCTTTCAGGAGGTTCTACCGAGTGTTGGTGCATCGGTCTTGGACATCATCAACAGCAGCCTCTCTTCTGGTATAGTTCCCCAACAGTTTAAACATGCTGTGGTCCAACCCTTGATCAAGAAACCTGGTCTTGATCCAGATGTGCTGTCAAATTTCAGGCCCATCTCCAAACTGCCTTTCATTTCAAAAATTCTGGAAAAAGTGCAGTTGAAATTTTTCTTGGATGGACATAACATCTTGGAGGTCTTCCAGTCAGGTTTCAAGACGATGCATAGCACGGAGTCAGCCCTGTTATGCGTTTCTAATGACATCCTGCTGGCAAATGACACTGGAGACTACGTGTGTCTAGTTTTATTGGATTTAACTGCAGCATTTGATACAGTGGATCACAGTAGTCTGTTGACTCGTTTGCAGCACTTTGTAGGCATTGGCGGTAGGGGTCTTTAGTGGGTTAGGACTCAGCCTTGGCTGCTCTGAGTCACGCACTGCTCCTTTGTCATGTGCTGTTCCACAGGGCTCAATTCTAGGGCCTCTGCTGTTCTCGTTGTATCTGCTCCCATTGGGTTCCATCTTAAGGAAACATGGTATTTCCTTCCACTGCTATGCAGATGACTGCCAGATCTATGTCCCACTGAGCAAAAAAGACGCCTTCTCATTAAGGCCACTTCTATCCTGCCTGGAAGAAATCAAAACCTGGATGGCACAAAATTTCTTGACTTTCAATGAAAAGAAGACAGAGGTGATACTGTTTGGTCCCAGTGGCCCTTGTACATCCCATCCTGTCGACTTGGGCCTCCTGTCTCCTTATCTTAAGTCAACAGTCTCAAAC